TGTCCAGATTGTGGGAAAAGCTTTAGTCGTAGTGCCTACTTGGTTACACACCAGAGAACTCACACTGGGGAGAAACCGTATGAGTGTCCAGATTGTGGGAAAAGTTTCAATAATTATTCTAACCTTGTGAAACACCAGAGGACTCACACCGGAGAGAAACCATATGAGTGCCTATACTGTGGGAAAAGTTTCCAGCAGAATTGCAATCTGGTCATACACCAGAGGATTCACACAGGAGAGAAACCATATGAGTGTCCAGATTGTGGGGAAAGTTTCATTCAGAACTCTAACCTGGTGATACATCAGAGGACTCACACTGGGGAGAAACCGTATGAGTGTTCGGATTGTGGGAAAAGTTTCAATAATAATTCCAGCCTTGTGCAACACCAGAGGACTCACACCGGAGAGAAACCATATGAATGTCTATACTGTGGGAAAAATTTCAGTCAGAACTCTAATCTGGTGATACACCAGAGGACTCACACAGGCGAGAAACCATATGAGTGTCCGGATTGTGGGAAAAGTTTCAGTCAGAACTCTAACCTTGTGCAACACCAGAGGACTCACACTGGGGAGAAACCATATGAGTGTCCAGATTGTGGGAAAAGTTTCAATAATAATTCTGCCTTTGTGACACACATGAGGACTCACACAGGAGAGAAAAATTTCAGTTGGAATTCCAACCATGTGCAGCAACAGAGGACTCACACGGGCGACAAACCACATAAGTGTCCGGATTGTGGGAAAAGTTTCCAGCAGAATTCCAATCTTCTCATACACCAGAGGACCCATACAGGAGAAAAACCGTATGAGTGTTCAGTTTGTGGGAAATGTTTCAATCAGAATTCCAACCTGGACAGACACCAGAGGACTCACACAGGAGAGAAACCATATAAGTGTCCTGATTGTGGTAAAAGTTTTAGTCAGAATGGCAACCTGGTGATACACCAGAGGACTCACATGGGAAATAAACCCTGTGAGTGTCCAAATTGTGGGAAGGCTTTCAGTTGCAATTCTGACCTGGTGAGACACCAGAGGATTCACACAGGATGAGTGCTTGGATTGTGGGAAAAGTTTCAGTTGG